CCTCTTTATGCCTCATTTGGTCCTCAACGACTTGACCCCAAACCCTTGAGGCCCTGAGGCCCTGGCAGCTTTGTGCGAACCTCGTAGCCGACGGGTTGTTAGGGTTTCGACTCTCACACTGGCATAAGCGGGCGAGGCAAGCCTGTCGAGATCTCCAGAGTGGGTACATTGACCACCAGTAACGAACCAACCAGGGTCAGCATGACCACCGACGGATACTCAATACCAAGCCACAATACTGAAGAGCTGACCCCTGATCGATCCCAGACAAACAGAAACAAATTGGTGCGTGTCCATTGGCCGACAGAAGTTCTTTGACCCAGTCGGCGTGTCCAACAGAGGGGCGCAAACCATGATAGCTAACAGTATACCTCGATCACCTTTCCACCCTGAAACAAGCCTCCCCCATCAGACCTGACTGACTATTCCTAGGCACATTGCGACCTAGCGAAAATACGTGGAGGTTGCCGCAAACCGTCCAAAGATCAGGTATGAATACTATCTCCAGAACAGTACAACCCGAGCGGCCTTTCCTCCCAGAAAGCAATATGTGGCAAGGGCTATGTGGGTGATACTTCTCTCTATCCTCAGCATTCGACGTCCCGAGCAGTGACTGCCGTCTGCGGCTATACGCGATCATCCACGTACATCTGTCTCTGTCATCCCCGGGCGTCAGGAGGCGCAACTCGGCAGATGGTGGTGGCCATGCACACGGTCCATGCAGAATGCACGTGCGTGGGACTGTCGACTCCGAGCTCGTGCAGAACCCAAGCTTCACTCAACATGCAGTTGTGCATCCATCAGTTTCCAGGGCCTTCACTGCTGAATTCACAAATTCTGAATTCATGAATTCCTTCTCTGCTTCGTACCAGCGGTCATGCATCTGGCAGTTGCAGGCATCATGCAGGCGTAGGGTCCCCATCTGCCACACTCCGCGGCGACCCAACTCCATGCAGTGCAGTGGTATTCGTCATGCAGTCACTCCGTGTCGCCGGGGGCGGCCAAAGCGGTCCGGCCGCGTGCAGGCACAAGGCTGCCACACGCCAACAAACTTGAGCATCTCGCTGTGTCCCCCGGCAGAACATCGTGCTGCTGTATTGGCGATGCCAGCCTCCATTGCAGTCCAACCCACATGCCAAACTCGCGGGCTCCAAGGTTCCCAGCTCAGGCCAGCGTCACATCGTGTCGAGAGGCCATGGCTCAGGATGCACCAAGGTGCCATAGACTGTTAGCGGGGTTGTTACAAGTAAGGGGGGGGGGGGGACAGGTAGGGGACGCCTACAGATCTAGCACACTGAAGCGGACCTGAGTGCACGCCCGCGCGTGTGGGGGGTGCGCTTGTGTGTGTGTTTGTGTATGCAGCTAACGAGGCGTGCTCAGCAAGCCGGCCCCTCCGTCGGGCCATCCTCCTTGACCACCCCTCGCCTCTCCCCCCCGACCCCCGCGCGACCCTCGACCATCGCGCGAGCCTCATGCGACCACCCCACAGCCCGAAGGTTTTCCTCATTGATACGGCGACGAATGGCTTGAGAACGAATGATATCCTCCATACGATATGCGAGAGTGGCCTTGGCGATGCGTTTGGCTTCGGTACGAGATTCCACCCATGGCCCTACGAAACGGTTTGCGAGCCGCTCATACGATGACCTTTCGTCTCTCCCCTGCATGTCCCCGGGCAAGGCGGTGGGTTTGGCGGAGCTCTTTGGCGGTGCCTGTACTCGAAACTGCAACGTGTTGCTTGCACTGCGGGGCGTGACGTTCCGAGCTGCTTAAGGGCCAGGCGGATTCGGACTCTGAGCGTCTCTGCTGACGCACGCATGGAGAACACACATGAAGAGCACAGCACGACTGCACGACAGCTCCCTCAAATCTCGCAATGAAACTGACGTTCCCAGTTGGTGCGCCTGCGAGAATGCCGGCATGCATCTTCGACCAGTTGTGAGAACAGCTACGTGTCCGTGCAATCAGGAGGAACACATGGAGAACACAGCATGCATGCGCAACAGCTCCCCTAAATCCCACAACGAGACAACCAGTTCCCATTATTGCTCCTGCGAGAATGCCGGCGTGCATCTGTGACAGAGTGTGAGAAACAGCTACGTGCACATGCAAGTCATGCGGGCCCCGTGCGCCTAGGGCAATCCGGCACAGTATCTATTCCGAGGAGTGGAAGCTAAAACAACTTTGACGACTACGTGCCCATGCCAATCATGCAGGTCCAGTGCTCATGCAGTCCATCCGCAGCGTAGCGTGCATTCCATGCAGTCAATTCTTGGGGGGGGGGGTGGCTACTTGGGAGGACGAGGCTCAAGGGCAGAGGTAACATGTACGGGCTAAGGGCGGGGGGGGGGGGGGGGGAGGGGGGCGTGCCGGAATTCCATGCATGCGCTGGGTTGTGTGAATTCAGCTGTTCTCAACACCACGGCTGGTTCCGGAGGTCTAGGACGGCACCACCAAGCGCGTGAGGGCTGCGGCGTCGAGCGTCATCTGGCCTCCCCCGGGGAGGACCACTAGGGCAGCCCCTCCCCGGTAGGACGGCGTCGGCATGGCCACCGTGTCTGACAAGTTGATGATGGGGGGCTGCGCGGGACCTGGTCCTCCCGCCCCCGTCCCCGGTTGTGTCTGCGGGGGAGAGCGGTAAAGCACCGGCCCCGAAGGGCGCGGGGCCGGTCCTGCTGCCTGCGCCGGACCATCCTCACACTTGTCCAGGAGGGCCTGTATCTGCTCGGACTGCTTGGTCTGGCTTTCCTGGAGCGCCCACGTCATGTCACAGACCCGGGCCAGCACCTTCTTGATGTGCGCGATGTTCTCGTGACTCTCTCGGGCAGCGGCCGTGTCGCAGCCTTCCCACAGCTTTGCGAGATCCGTAGTCAGGCCATCCACCACCGCCGTCACCACTCCGAACTTCTGCTGGAGGCTTTCCATCGAAGCGCACAGGACGGCGGTCTGGGACTTGAGCACCTCCAGACCAGCAGTAGTCGTGCCGAGGTCCGTTTTGACCGTGAGGAGGTCGGCCTTGACCCCTTTATGCAGCGCCGCGAGCTGGGCGTCCATCTTCAGGATCGCCACTGCTGGGTCTTTGATGTCCTGCACACGGCCTTCTACCCGCTCCACGAGGTTCCACATCTCCTTGATTTTGTCGAGCAGGTTGCCAGCGGCGGTGCGCGCTTCGCGTTGGTCTTGTGCCCGGTTGCTGTCGGCGGTCAGGAGGAGGTCCATGACGGTGCTGACTTTGCCAAACATCTTGTCCGTGCGTTCCATGAGTGCTCGGAGTTGGTCCGATACAGGGTCGTCCAAGGTGGCGTCGGGGGCAGCCGCGCCAGTGTCAGGCTCGCTGGCGCCAGGATCCACTCGACCACGACGTCGAGACACCCCCACCAGAGCCGCCAGCAGCCCCGTCATCAAGAGGCCGCCCACCAGCCACTGCCACTGCGTGTCGTCCATGATGCTCACCCAGAGGTCGTGGAGCTGGCTCGCCGCGGCCAGCACATCGTCCTGTGCCCCGCCGGTCTGGGTCGGCGTCGTCTGCTCCGCCATCCGGGGCTCCTGGCTCAGCGCCTCCATTGCCATTTCGAAAATGCAAGGCACCAAAGGGGTTACAGAAATGCTGAGAGCACGAGGGCTTCAGGGCTGCGGGCGGGGCTGAGCATGTGTCTGTCCATGCATGGGGTGTCAAAGTGCAGACAGCCAACGACGATGGATGCACAAGAGAAACAAAGCAAGCATGGGAGGGGGAATGGGGGGGGGGGGGAGGGGGCGCTTTGCACTCTTGCTATCCCCGGCGGCCCGGTCTGGCGGCCCGGTCTGGCCAGCGCGGCGTCTTACACACCACTCGTGCCAACGTTGTACAGAGTCGCTCGGGAGCCCGAACTATGTGGACTCCCAGCGAGAGAGATCCTTGTCTTTCCTGTTTGCGGGAGGGGAGCCACCAAACTATGCACATGCACATGCAAGACAGAAACAGAAACTAGTCATGCTCATGCAGATGAATTCCCTGCACATGCCAACCAATTCACTTCACATTCAAACTAATTCACTCAATGTCCTTGCGACGGCGGGGGCTCAGATCGTGCCGGGCATGCGTGTCAGCCTAGTCGATGTAGTAGACGTCGGGCCCACAACCATGTCGGAGCTTCCCTACTGGCCATTTCGGGGCGGCACAAGGCAGAGCCCGTTGAACCTGCGCCCCATGCGGTGTCCACCGAGACAGCATCGCCCGTCGCTCCTGTTCTTCATCCGGGAACAAAAAGCCCAACTGGAGGTAGGCTCGATCTTGCACCCGAAGCGTTCTGAACCCCGCCGAGTGGAAGCCCACGAGGAGGACCCGGGACCCCTGCCAGGGCTCCGTGGCATGCAGAAGGCTGCGTGCGCTGAGTCTGGTGGGCCCGCGCAAGGGCGCAACTGCTCCCAGGACCCGTCGTCCACGGAAGATGCGTGTCTCCAATCCGGTGGGGGATTCCACCCAGATTCCACCCCCAACAAACTGCGTCAGCGGGAGGATCAGGCTAGGCAGCCAAGAGTTCTGTTGGTCGCGGTGGGGGGCAGCACAAACGTCGAAATTGACCACCAGAGTGGTGAAGGTGTCCCCCGGGAAGTGGTGACGCAGAACTCGCGTCAGTAGCCGTGTCAGCGTGGGGTACACACGCGAGAGCGCACGCACCCCTGCGCGAACGTGCACATAGGCGCCGAAGCTGAGGGATCCGCCTTGCTCACCCCTGACCGGGGCGTCGACATCGAGGCACCGGAGCGCCTCCACCACTTTCTCCAAATGCGGGGCCACATGATCCTGCAGGAGGGCACCTGCTGCCAACTCCGCCACAGGCCCATCAGCGTCCGCGGCATCGCTGTCACTGTCGACTTGCACAGGGAGCTTGGCCTCGCCAGGTGCGTCCTCGTCCGCAGTGTCCAGCAGCGTAGGCGGTGGACATGACATGGCTGCCCTAGCTGCTTTACCGCGGGCGCGTCTATTTCCGGGCCGTCCCGCCCCCCCCCCCCCCTCCTTAAAAGAACTGCGCAGTGGAGCCCGAAGCATCGCGAAGCAGGAACTGTCGGCCCGGAGGGAAGGACTGGGCCGCTTGTTCACAGACCAACTGGAAATCCTTGGGGGTCTTCTTAGGCTGCAGCGTGCACTCATCCAAAAGCCATGGCAGTTGCACATGCAGTCTCTCTATGCTCATGACATGCGTCCAATCAGTCAGTCCCACATGGTGCTCCAACACATGGCGCACGAAAAGAGTGGAGGGCAGAGCGAGGACTGCGGCGGCATCACCGGGGAGGGCCCCGCGGCACGTGCGCAGGAAGCGCCACTTCCGGGCCATACTGTCTGCGGCCGAGGCTTGGGGCGAGGGGCTTCGCATCTGCATCCAGGTGTGGGTGTCGGGGCCACCTCCTGGAGGACAAATGGCTGCGGTGACTGCGGCTTTCCCATCTACCAACCATATGACCCACTTGTCCCGGCGAGCCGAGCTAGCATAGTAGGGCACACAAACAACTGCCCGCGCGTAGGGTAGCTCTGGTGGCATCTTGGACGGCCTTAGTATGGCCGACAGGTCTCCAAGAAGGAGCAGTTGCCTACCCCCCAACATGTCGGGATGGCCAAGTGCAGGGGATTCTGCAATCCAGTAGCGTGACCAGACATCCTCCGCCAGCGTCCAGTCAGGGCGTCTATGCGCAAGCAGTTCCCAAGCGGCCGGCCACGCATCCTTACGAAAGCGCATATACGCCCTCTGCAGCCTGCGGGGGACGGTGTCCTGCACCCACACCGGCCGGGTTGCTCCCGTGGCCACCGCCGCCCAGTAGCACGTCCGAAACATGGACACCACCGGGGTGTTCATTTCCGATCTGCTAAGATGCCCCCAATACCTCCACACCCGACGAACCCAAATCTCTGCCCATTTTGCCCGACCCTGCAAGAGGCGGTCACACACCTCCCGGACCGCCCGTCGCTTGGCAATCTCATTACCCAACCAGCCCAAGACAAAATCCGACGTGAAGGCCAGAACGCCCAGCAAATAGGTATGTTGCAAGGCTGTGAGGCGCCTAAGGAGCTTTGCGCTGGGCCACAACACCGGAGCACACCACGCCCACTTAGAAGTGATGTAGGAGTCAAACAACAACATTTTGAGCTTGAGGGGGGTGTGTATGCCTTGAAGGAGTCTACGGAAAGCATAATACGTATTGAAAGTTTTGCGCAGGCCATGGCCGATCATGACCTCAGTGTCCAGGATGTACGAGAGGGGTACGCCAAGATACAAGAGGTGATCCTCCGCAGGCATGGGCTGGGGTTGCCCTCTGAGCCAAACACCCGGGGCGGGCCCCTGAACCTGGCCCAAGACTGTTGACTTAGATGCATTAATGCGCAGCCCTATGGCTGCCAGACAGTCCTCGATCCCTTGCACCTTAGTCTGCAGGTCGGCGGGTGTGTCGGCGAAAACGAGGAGGTCGTCAGCATAAAGGAGCAGGTGGGCTAGTGGCCCCACCCGGGCTTCCCAGTCCGGGAACCTCTCCGTCCTCCAATGCTCGATAAGCGGACCCAGAAACCAGTCGATGACACGGGAGAATAGGTCCGCGCTGTAGGAGGTGCCCTGCAAGACGCCCCTCTCCAACTGTTGGTCCCACCGGCGGGCGCCAATGCCCATAGTAATTCTGGACTGGATGCACATTTCCCACAGCAGCACCTTCTCGGTCGTTGGCCGGCCTTGTCGGAGCCATTCCAGGATCGCCGAGTGCGAGAGCGTGTCAAAGGCCGCCCGTATGTCCAGCTTGGCCACGCAGGCTCCACAGCGGCCCCGAGATCGAAGCTGCTGAACGATCATCTGAGCTGCCGCCACTCCGTCTATGGCCTGCGATCCCGGACGACAGCCCATCTGGCCCGCCTGATATGGCGGTGACGCGTCGCGCACCCTGCGCATGAGGATCTTGCTAAAGACCTTGCCAAGGCAAGGCGTCAGGCAGATGGGGCGGAGGTCCTTAGCACCCTGCGGCTGCGACACCTTGGGCATGAGTGTGATCTTCCCGTGGCTCCACGAGGAAGGCAGCGCGAGCCGCCCCTGGAGTATGTCTGTCAGGTAGCCTGCCAGCTTATGCTGGGTATCCATCAAGGCTATCTGGAGAAGACCCTCGTAGGTAACCCCGTCAAGACCTCCGCTGACACCTCGCTTCATCTCCTGTATACATGCCACCAAATCTTCATGGGTGATGGGGGCGGGGGGGGGGGCTACAGAGGCGGCATGAACTCTGACCGGATCCGGTTCCGCATCTTCCCGGGCGTATTTGTGTCGGTAGAAATCGGCGAGTTCCTCCGCTGCCTGTTGAAGCCCACCCCTAGCCGCCACATACCCTCCCTCAAAGGATGCCCCCGCCGCGCTTCGTCGCAAGAAGGAGATGGCTCGGCGGTCACCCTGGCGGGCCCTCTGGAGGAGGTCCGTCTTGTGCTGTGCTTTGTCCGCAGTCCGGGTTTCCCGGATTTGCTTCATGAGGAGGGCACGTTTTTCAGGGCACATGCACGACTTGCGCTCTGCAATTAATTCTTGAATTCGGGGGGAGTCTGAATACCGTAAATTCGGGGGGCGCGTGGCCGCCTTCTGACACAACTCTGAAATACTGTCCTGGTTGTAGATGAATTCGGGGTCCCGGAGGCCTTGTTCTCGGATCTCCGAGCGATAGTTCCACTGCCCTGTTTTATCCTGAGGTCGCCACGTTCTTTGAAACCAATGTGCGGATACCGTGATCTGCAGAAAGATGGGGTCATGGTCACTGGGGAGAGCCTGTCGCATACCCTCATCTTTCCAAAACTGAGCCTGGCACCCGTGCGTCCTGAACAGCCACCAGTCGATTGGGGTGGAGAGCCCTCTGGCATGCCACGTCCCGCCCAATGGAGCGGAACCACGCAAGCCATGAACATGTACGAGACTGCGCATATGGGACATGCCGGGGAAGCTGTCTACCTGGCTCGCATAATTCTGGTTAAGATCACAGCCAAGAACAATCTGTGTATGCTGAGAAAGAGCTGATAACTGCACTTGCAAACTCTGAATTCCAGTGGTCCATACCTCCACAGCGTCCGCTCGCTGTTCATGCGGAAAATGAAGGGAGGACAGACAGAAATGACCCCTGTCGCTAGCGAGTTTAACTAACAGTCCAAGGGGATGGGGCACGACCTCCGGGCGAGCATGGATGAGCGCCGTGCACACAGCTACTGCCACGCACCGGAAGCTGGCCGTGGTGTTGACTACATAAACGTTATACGTTTTAGGGCCAAGGGACCACTCCTGGACCCTCTGAGCCCCCAACTCCAAGTCTCGTATCCCTCCCAGTTCCTGAAGCATCAGCACATCAGGTGGCGTACATGTGCCTGTCATCAGATCAGCAAGGGCCTCCAGCGACTTACCATGCAAGTTCCACGACATGCATACCAATTCCCTGGAAGCCCCGGCCCGCGTTTGCGCGCGGGCCCGTCCCCCCGGTAGTCACTCATCACGAAGGTCCAGTCGCTGCCGGAGCGTCTCTTCTGCGACCCCCAAGAGGGCTGCAAAGTCACCCAAACGCACATACCAGCCCGTGTCCTCCCCTCGACCATTCTGAAGCATGACCGCCCCGTCAAATGGGGGGCGACGGTCGGCGTGGAACAAAATCTCCCGCCCCTTCACCCAGACCCGCCCAGACCAGTCGAAGTCTACGTCAGTTTCCGAAACAAACTCCAAGGCCAGTGCCTTCATGGAGACAATAGCACGAATCTTAGCCCTCTCCTCAGGCCCACGATTGCGCTTAGCCCACAAGCGTGCCGATCCCTGACCGGGCAAGCGGCTGCCTTCACTGACGCGCTGACGTAAGGCATGCAGAACCGTGCCCTGTAGCTCCCTTTTTGCACGCGGGCGGTCGTCCGGAAACAGCAACTCCACACGACAGTAGCGAGATCTGGCATATGGTACATGGACGCGCTTAAGCAAGGCTTCGGCCTGGGCATCTGAGAACAAGCGAGTGACCTCCCCCTCGATTTCCACCCGACGGGCCTCATCCCATCCCCCCACCACAATCTGGAAATCGTCTATGTGCCGGTCAGGCAGGGACGAGCCGGCCTGCGAGAAGCGCGGGGAGCTGCCCCGCGTGGCGGCAGGACTAGGACTGACCGACCGAAGACGTCGGACCTCTGCTTCAAGCTCTCCAAGACGGCCCTCCGCCGTCCCAAGGCGCGTGTCGTGGCCCCGGACCGTGTCCCCCAGCGACCCCATTTGTGCCGTGAGCGTCTGTATTTGAGCGGTCGCGCCACTCAGCTGGGCCAAGGCGGTGTCCTGTTTACCGTGCAGATGATTCAACTGATCCCTGAGCCCTCCCACCCACGTCGGTTCATCCAAAAGGAAATGCTGGGGCAGGAGGGGGCCCCGGGGGGGGGGGATCCCTACGACCCCCATGAAACAGCGGGGGAGCTCTATGGGCCGGAGCCCCCTCAGCGGCCCCAGCGTCGCCAAAGCTAGGGAGGCACTCTTGCGTGCGGAGGCGTTTTTCTGGGCTGGCTTCCTGGGAATGCGTGCGTTCCTTACGAGCAGCCCCCCCCGTGGAAAAGGCCGCGGCGGGCAAAGCGATGCTATTCACGGGCATGGATGTGGTGGCGGCCAGCAGTGCCGCTGCAGCTGCTGCATCCCCCTGAAGGGCCAGGCGTTCCGCGCAAACAGGTTCCCCACCTGCCCCCCCTGCCCTCGATCCTCCCCCGTCGCCATCCCCCCCCTCAGCCCCACCTTGATCCAGCGAGCGCGTCAGTCTGGCCGCAGCCTCCGCAGCTGCCTGCAGCTGCCTGCGCTCATGATCCGGTTGTGTCTGTAGGACCGCCAACATCCCCCCCGGACCATCGGGGTCGACTGACCTAAGCTCGTCATCCGCCGGAGGGGGACTCTGACTGTCATACTCCGGCAACATGACCGCGAGACGCACGGGACACGAGCGCGCTGTACGTCTGTGCACGCGCACGTCCGTCCCAGGTCCGCCCCGTAAGTCTTCGACGGAGGGGGGTTCTATTTCGGGTTTAGGCAGGGGCTGGTTTAAGGTCGTGGGTGGCTCAACAGGAATAGGGTCTATTTGGAAGATAGTATTCGGTTCTTCATCTAGGGGAAACCTTGAGCCTTGAGCCAGGGTTTAGGGTTTAGGGTTTCGGGGGGCTACTGGAAGGTTCATGGGTACTTATCAGTAGGGTTATAAGGGCCCTAAATAAGGTTATAAGTATAGTTATCGCACTTCTAAGCCTACTTATAGCTAGCCATGAACCTCCAAGCAGACATCAACAGGATCCCACTTGAAACGGGAGTCACGAGTACTTGGGACAAATGGGAAACATAACATGTGTCTAACGCGCACGTCGAAGAATCTCATCAGTTGGCGGGCGTTGTGCGGGTATTTGCGAACCTGAGCACAGCAACTCCACACCCCCCTACGGAACTTTGCGCCCTCTCCGTGAGAGACGAAACGAAAGGGATCTTCGTTGCGCGCGCTTTTTGCTCTCCACCGAGACTGAGAGGCCGCGTGGGAGTTCATTACGTGCCCTCATGGCTTGGGGCCCAGCTTCTCCGAGTTGGGCTTCACTAGTTCTCAAAGCTCTCTGCAATAATTTCGAAGTCCCAACCATAACAGCCATAAAGCATAAGTCTCAAGGAGCAAGGCGGCTTTGACCGAGAATCCCACCCTTCAAGTGCAACCATCTTATGATGAGGCCTTAAGCCTATCCTGGTCTAGCTCTCCGAAAGAGTAATCCGGCATAGACCCCGTCAGCCTTCAGGTGAAGCATTGAAGCTGGGCGTAAGAGCCGATGCCAGCTGAAGTGAGCCCCAGTTTAGGGGCCCAGATCAACACCTAAAGCGCCCAGAAATGACGCGCTTCCTCGACGGGGGTCTGCTTGGCTTTGCGCGCTCAATAGCTTGAGCTACGTGAAGGCTCATGGCCACGGAGGATGTAGCGTTAATAGCACTATCTGAACATTGTGTATTCGATTAGTATACCTTATTATACGGGTAAAAATTCTGTAATTTTATTATTGCAGTACAATATGAGTATACTATGAGAGTTTTGTTTAATGCATGTATTTATGTGGTTGTATGATAATATGATTGTACGATTATACTATTTATGTGATTATACTACTACATTATTATATCCTTGTTGTATCATTGTAGTATGTAACGTAGGCGTGTTACTGCATATGTTAATACTCAATTGTTATATTGTGATATCATGCTACCATATTGTTATAACATTGAACGATTTTATTCTGTTTCAGTTTTTACTAGGGTAGTAATATAATAGCGTATTTTAAATACGTATCTTACCGTGGTCTTGTACTATTGTATGAGTCCGGTAATATTTTTTATACCATACCATTTTGTTCTGTGATCTTAATTAATTTCCCTTCGTACATTATGACGGGTCGCTGCTTGCAGATATATAGAAACCTGATCCTACAGTACATAACTACCCCATCTAGCGTGCAGAGCTGGGTTGGATTCATAAGGCCGGGCAAGCCTTTCGGACGGAGCTCTTGCGGTTTATAAGGTTCACGCCTTAGGCTTCATCATTCAAACCCCCAAAGGCCGAAACCCTCAAACCCCCAAAGCCTTAACCATGTAGAGGGGTTGGTGGCATGTCCGCGCCAAGCTTTCGCAGCCAGGAAACCCGGGATTCAAGCTGGCCATGTCAAAGCAGCCAGTTTGATGGGCAACCGAAACTCAAGAGCTTTCAACCCATTGGGGTTTAGGGTTTAGGGTTTAGGGTTTAGGGTTTAGGGTTTAGGGTCCAGGGTACTTGCCGCACGAAACGCTTTTGCACGAAACATGGTGTTTAGACCGATGGAACTTCTAAATCGGGCTGGAAGTTGTCTTGTAGCACTTGTGGGTGGCATGCCTCTGCCGCCTGGCAATGCACGCGGCACAGGTCTTCTACAAGTGCGGCGGCGACTACCGACAAGATGCAAATGCTTCATCGTAGCCGGCAAGACGCTACGACTGCCATTCTAGATTGTCGTTTGGCCTTCAATACCCGCACCTCAAGTTAGAATGACACTAGACTTCAAAGATTGACATGGCCGAAAGCAGTTCACAGCAACCGGACGCTTGGGCAGTCCGATTACCGTTCATCGCTAGTTGAGCTGGTTTTGTTGGTCTCACCATTGTGACCCGCCGTGACGTTCAAGCACTGGCCAAATCACTGTCATCATCATAGGTGCAGGGACAAATCCAGCTCATTTGAAAACTCATCTGCAGAAGTGAAAAATCTATTGCAAGCTGATCCGGGTCCTAGCAGCCCTCCTCCGATAGAATCTTAAGGCGACAATCTGAGGGCACGCTGGTACTCTTCTAGGGGCTTCCTTGAAGGGGATTCTACTCCTGTTTGGGGAAGAAAAGGGGTGCCAATGTAGACGCTGAATCCTAAACCCGAATTGACTCGTCTCGGACTCTGCTTGCGCGTCGGGGCCTAGTGCCCATGGAAACAGCAGGCGGCATGGCCCATCATGGACCTGTGTCCCAACTGGGTCCACGTTTCTGAGGGATACTTGTAGCCGCATTCGTCTACCTTCACGGATGATACATGGACCCATTTGGGTGTGCAAATGCACAGCCGAGTTTGCAGCAACTCATGCGAGGTTCGTGTGTATGCCAGGGAACGACTCAGCATCTCATCTTCATTTTGCATATCGCTGGGTTCCGGAATTTAGGTTTCGAGACGTCCCTCATCAACCTTGCAGCCTTCACATGTCCATGTCCAGCGCGTTATCACCCATTGACTTTTCCGACGACTTGTCAGGAAGAAGTTGGCCAAGCTTCGTGAACCTCACGCGGCAACGCCCTACACCCTAAACCCTACCCTAAACCCTAAACCCCAAACCCCCAAACCCCAAACCCTCTGCTGTGTGCCTGTGCTCTCGGATCTTGGGAAGCCCCACGCCGACATGACGCACACATGCTTGGGTGATCGTGACGGATTAAATTACTACTAATTGGTTTAGGGTTTAGGGTTTGGGGTTTAGGGTTTCGGGTTTAGGCTACGATTTGCTTAAGAACCCCCCCCCCCCCCCAAAAAAAAAAGGTATTCTTTCTTATAAGGGCGATTTTTGTTCTTTGGGGTTCTTAAGCAAATAGTAGATTAGGGTCCCTCTGGTGGCCATGCTTATAAGGAATCCCAAAGTGAGTAAAAGCTAGCTATAAATAAAGGGCCTTACACATCTGCAACAACCATGTCACAAGCTGAAGCCAAGCATCTCAGATTCGACGTACCTCGCTGCGTTTTCGATTGAACTAGCTGAACACCTATTCAGCACCAGCGCGGCAAACCAGTGTAAGGTTGTTTTTTGTTCTCTTCTCTCAGGGTTGCTTTAAGCTGAAATGTCGTGGTAATTTCAGTATCTCAAAACCTGAGAATGGCTGAGGTTGAAAACAGGGTTTCCAGAAGCTACAACCTTCTCCAGTCCTCTTCGCTCATCCATTCTTCCGAAATTCGTGGGTACCTTACAGGGTCCTTATTATAAGGGGAGCCTACCATGTGGGGATCTAGACTAGGGGTCCCTTATTGTCGTAAACCCCCCAGTAGAGACCTGAAGTCCAAGTCTTGACCGGCAAAGCGCCACTCCTTGCCCTCTCTGCCCCCTAGCTTGGTAGCCCAGTAACCACATTATGATAAGGGCGCCCTTTCTTCTTGGGTTGGTTACTTTATAAGGGAACGAACCAAGAAAAAAAAAGGCAAAACAGGGTGCCACTGGGCTACCAAGCTGATTTTAAAAAAATGCCATAAGCTCATGCCTTGCAACCCCCCAAACTCCCGAATCACGCCCCCGTTTTTTTCTTGCGCAGCAAACCCCGACCCTAAACCCAAGAATCCCTAAACCCGCTTTTTTTTGGGGGGGCCCAGGTCTTTGGCCAAAGTTGCTCCATAAAGTCTCGCAGGACCTGGCGGTGGCCAGCATTGAGGCTTCCGGGCTTTCGGGGCTGATGAGATAAAAACAAAACGGAAGCCCCGCAGACAGCAGAAGTGCTGACGTGAAAGGCTGGGCGTTTTTGTTTGCTAGACGCGTGCCTGTTGATTCTTCAAAGGGCTCATGTTGCTGGCTTTTTCTCGGCTAAGAACCAAAGGTCCCGCGTTCTACCCCACCCCGCCAGCCCACGATGGAGCAGAAACACCTTTCATGTGATGTTGGAATGCGCAGAGTGCAGAGTCATGTTAATTTCGATGCTCAAGGTGAGGCCAAAAAACCTGAACAAACGAGTCGGGTAAAGAGCTCCCTGACAGCCACACAGTTTGCCCTACACCCCATTGAGCCCTAACCCTCCTTGTTTTCTTCACGATCTTCCTCATTCAGGATCTTCTGCCGGCTTCCAGTCGCGCCGGCCAGTTCCAGCAACTTTGCGCACCGAACTCCCTATCCCTTCGGGCTGTGCTTGCATGTCAGGGCTGGAGATACATACGTACCTGTGCACCCAGAAACGCCTCAAAGATCTCTAAGGATTGCGGGAACTCCTCTTAAACCACTTAGACTTAAAGCCCTCGCCCTCGGCCATCTTCTGGCTGCCTTTAAGGCATCGGCGGTCGGTTTATGCTGCTTCTCAAGTTGTGTGGGAAGTCTGCTTTCAGGGAGGGAAGAACTCCTCACTGCAAGCCGTGGCTTGCACAAGTTGTGTTCTCGCACCTCGCCCTCTACCTCTCTCGCTCTCTCACTCTCTCTCACAGCCTCTGAAACCCACAGCCCAACCAACCCCCCCCCCTCCCCCACAAAAGGACCCTAGTTTTCATCAGCAAACCCTGTTCCTGCGGCGCTCTCTCGCTCTGAATGCCCCTCCACCCCCCCCGGCGAGGCCCCCCCCCCCCCCCCCCCACCCCCCAAAAAAACCCAACCCAACCCCAAAACCCGAACTCATTATGTTTCCCCGGTCTGGACACAACTTCGGCGCAGTGTTAGGCTCAAGCCTCCCAGGTCCCCAACGGTTAAGGGTCTAGGGCTTAGGGTCTTATAGGGTTTAGGGTTTAACCCGCTCAGCACTGACCCCATCAAGATTCAAGACTTAGTCTGGGCATTTGGCGACATTCATCTTCTTCACATCGTACTGGAGCGCCGCGATGTCGACGGTCTTGCTGAGGCCCTGGTAAAGCTCGCAGCGAAGGCTACTCTGGTCGAAGTTACGGGACGTCTAAGGCTTCAAAACTGGACGCACACTTGCGGTCCAACATGTTTAGAAGCTCGGCATCTTGGCCTTGCTTAGTGAGAGTACTAGCTACTCAGCTAGTCATTGGCATGTCATGGCCCCATTCTGAATTCGGTTATACTCTTTTTAGAATTTCAGGTTTCAAGATCCCCTGAAGGCCCAGCACCTATCGGCCGAAGAAAAACACCCATAAACGCTCAAATAATAGGCAGTGCCCCGACACAACTCTACAGGGAATTCGGGCACTGAAATTCTCACGTTTGTAGGGGGCCAACAGCTGAAAACGAAAACCACTTGCCCACCGGAAGCCCTCAAACTTGGGATGTTCCCCCTTATACCAACAGTCATTCATAGGGATTCTAGTACCCCCTATTATCATCCCTATGAAGGACTGTTAGAAGAAGGGGGAAATTCCCATCGTAAGCCCTCAAGCCCACAGTTCTGCCGTGGCGCCTTAAGGCTCAAAAGGCCCTCGACAAACCTGGTCAAGGCGCGAGGGCCGGGGGGTCTCATGGTTCAGGGCCTTTCAGGGTTTAGGGTTTAGGGTTGAGGCGATTCTTTTGTCTTTCCGCCTGCGACGGCTCGATGCAGCCCCCACGTTAAACTGAAGAGGTAGCTATGCGAGATGGATGAGGCCCCTTCCTGCAAGGGGTGGAAAATTAAGAAGAGGTAGTGGGGTGCGCCCTCTCCGTCGTCCGAAAACTGCACCGCACGTAGGAAACTTGATGCCCCATACACTTTCAACTGAAGCTTCAATTGCCGCTGGCCGCCAAGCAACTCCGGCAGAGAGACGGATCCAGTTTCGTCTTTGTCGAGCAACTTGAAAATGTTCCTGATCAGACAACTACTTTGCTGCCACAAGCTTGTGAGGTTCGCTCTGAACCCCAGACTCTAAACTTGCAAGGGTACCACAACAAGTAGGGCCAAGAAGGGTTTGCAGTGCGAAGTAGCAGAACGGCAGTTGCAATAGCAGTGTGGCTTTTGCGAATGCTCACAGGGGGACATGTAGAGAGGAACTTGAAGGCACGACACGTTTTCGAACTTGTATAGTATAGAAACCCTGGACCCTGAACCATCGCGAGAGCGCGAACCCCAAACTTTTGGAAGCACATTGCAGCCGGCATACCAAGCACCGCTGGTGCTGATGTGGAGATGAGACCTCGCAAGCTCTTCCCGCCAAGTATAGTGAACTAAGCAGCGCAATCTATGGGTGTGGAAGAACCGCGGATAATCGTGGGGTTGAGAAAAAATGACACTATAGATCAGCTGCCATCGGCTTTGCCTGCTGTACTTTTGCTGCCTGGCGTTTTTAACTCTCACTTCCGGCTAAAGTAGCTGTATAGTAGGGTTCTTCGGGAGGAGAGACCTTTGTGAGTTTTTCCCCCCCCCCCCCCCACAATAGAGCTTCACCGCCTGAAGCTTACCGATTAGATGTGCCTTGCTTAGGGCTCTAAGTACACCACTTCTGCCCTACACATACATAAGTGCAGTACCCATGAAGCTTCAAGCAGGCCAGGCAGCAAAGACACCTCATAGGTTGGAAAAGCGACAAGAAACCTGAAACCCTAAACCCGAAACTCTACAATCCCTGGAAGTGCACCTGACCGGAAGTAGCTGCGCCATGCTAGAAGCCTCGCCTTTCTGTTCAGCAGGTCGGGATTTAGGGGTAACAACCCTAAACCCTAAACCCCAAACCCCAAACCTGGCCACTTGCTGAACCTCGAGCCTTGAAACTCTGAACCACAGATGCTCGGGCCCCCGGGCAGATAAGCCTGCATGCCCGGGTTTTCAAGCAACTCCTCGAGCTCCTGCGGAAACTACCCTGAAGACTTTTGGCAATACTTGAAGGTTCATGGGTAGCTAGAAGTGGGGTTATAAGTAGGGTGACTAAGATTAGGGTACTTCTAACCCTACTAGCAGGCCATGTAGGGAGGTTTATATAGGCAGTGTTCACGCTTGTCGTCCAAGCCTGCACCCCGGACCACGGACCCAATGTCAATGCCTGGTGAAGCCTGAAGTAAGCCGTTTGGCCCGTGGCCTTTCGCACTGATGGCCGATATCCCGAAAATAGGGGGACTGTCTGACCCTGACAGGGCCCGAAGCAACTCGAACTCCCTTACCACGAGAATACTGAGCCGTGCACCCGGGGCTTAAAGCTTAGACAGACTGTCAGGATGCAAGCAATTGTGGACTTCGTTGCCGAAGTTTCGGATCCTCGAATTCGATCTCTCCAGACCCGTTCGTGTCCATCTCGTCAAAACAATGCTGGAACCTTCCGGGGCTGTGCTTACCAGAACAATTTTTTTAAAATTTAGCTAGCGATACGTCCCCACCTGCAGAGCCGCTCATCCACCCGCCCTGAACCAAAACAAAAGATTGCTTCACCACATGGGTCCATCCTCAATCCTGCCAACCCTGACATGTACCCCAGGCCCTTTGTTCATCTGAGGCTTCAGATCTGCCCTGCAAGCCGCAAAAAAGACACAAGGCCACGCGAAGACCACACAACAATACGCGTCTCCTGCAACGTCTAGGCGGAATCAGCAGACCCTGACGCTCTAAAGGGCTTTCATCATCCTCGCCAGACTGAGTCTTGGGCCCGAAGGCTAGGCGTTGCGGGTGAATATGGGGGTTAGGGCAAATTTGGAGGATGGGCCAATAGATGTCCATTTCTAAACCCTAAACCCTAAACCCTAAACCCTAAACCCTGGTTTTATCTGGGGCCCGGGCTCTTTCATTAGCTTGTCCTTCTCCCGAAGCATCTCCACCACCATTTGTTCTGCCAGCTCACGGGACCAACGAAGCGGCACAGACTTGCACAACTCAACCCTGCTATAGTGGTTTGTTATTAATGTTGCACCCGCTTTAGTGGATGGGACCGCTATTATGCGATGTTCCGAAAATCTTATACAGAACCCCCCGTTGAAGGGCGGGGGGCCGGGGAGCCAAAAACTAAAAACAAAAAATGAATAAGAAACTCCGATTTTCTTGGTGTCCAGCCTTATTTAAATTCCTTGTAAAATTTCATTACGAAACAGGCCCCCAAACAATTTTCCAAGGGAGTAGCCCACGAGCTGCCCTGATTCGCTTTAGCAAGTTGTTTCGGTGGTCCGCATTAATGCGGAGCCCCGGCGACCGTGGAGCTACAAAGCCTGGAAAGCTTAGACCCTCAAGCTTCAAGGCTTCCCCTCAACCCTCGACCCCTAGCCGCCCTACCCCCAGCCCCCGTCCCAGCCCCATCCCACATTACTTTCTCGAAAACCCCAAAATTGTTTGGGGGGCCGGGGGGGGGGGGGGGGGGGGACCCCCCCACACTAAAAGCGAGTCCAACATTAATTCTAGCGTATCACAATATTATTCGAACACTGATGGATGTACTGTGGCCTGCTCCAAGCATTAAACCTGGTCACATGGCCAGTTCCGATAAGCTCAAAAGCCAACCGCATCTTGTGAAGGCGGTGCCTAATTATTCTAGATTCTTACTACATTATGATACCACTATCTGATAACAATATCATATGTCAAACTATTGTATGAGTATGTTAATACTTTTGAGAAAACTGTACAACGCAACAACCGGCTCATGCCCAAAGCCGTGAAACTGAAAGGCCTGAATCACAGGCTGACCCACCCCCAAAAGCACAAGCTTAGACCCTACTAAGCATCCTCATGCCCTGAGGAACATATCAGGGTGAGGCGGTGTACGGAGGGCCCCTATAATCTCTCCTTAAAAAAAGAACGGCAACAACGGAGCCAAAAACGCAAATGCCTTGAAGGTGAGATCCTTGCAAACCCCTCTTTTGAATGAGAATTGAGGCATCGTTTTGGCCATGTGGGAACCTTGGATTGAGGACTCTGAAGGCTGTCATGCGTTTATTTAATCGGCCTTTATAGGGCTTGGAAAGGATGACTCTGGCGGCAGTGCAGAAAAAAACTTCATGACAACAGAAGTTGAGGGTCTGATTGAGGTTTAGAGCCTGTGCAGGTTTTTCCGGGCTTGCCAGGTTGGACGTCGTGGGAGTGAGAGCTTGTGAACCTGCCCACCAGACAACCCTAAACCCCAAACCCCCAACTAAACCCTTAACCCTAAACTTCCTAAACCGCACATGCAAGCCAGAAGGCCCTCATTCTTCCAGGGGCCAAGCTCGATAAGCGCTAAACCGTGAGAACGCCCGGCCCAAGAAGCCCTGAGCCGTGTCCCCCTGCAAAAGCCTGGGATGGCTAAACACAAACCCAAAAATGGATCCAACCCTAAACCCCAAACCTTATAAACCCTAAACCTTATAAACCCTAAACCCTAAACCCTAAACCCTAAACCCTAAACCCTAAACCCTAAACCCTAAACCTCAGCCTGTTTGGGCGATTTTGGGAGTCTCTGACCCCTGAACAGCCTCTGTCAGCTGCCGCCATCTCGATGGCACTCTCACCTCGAATAAACTCCCGGCGAACCCCAGGCGCCCAACTGGCAGGTGGTACTTAAGTAATCAATTAAGGCTATTCAAGGATAATTTAGCCTAATTAAGGTTTTTTAAGGGGGCAACCTAGGGGGGGTAGTATAGAGGGGGGTAGTAGGGGAACCCATGAACTTAAGTTTCTCCTTGCGCTTGGGTATACTCTTTTGGCGGTCCTAGAAACATAGGGGTGTTGGGGCTCAGATGAGCACGGGGTGTAGAAGTGTCGGAGAACATGCACCAGCCGGTGCCGTGCTGGCTTTTCGCATGAAGACAACGTCAGATTCGCCCAATGAACCCCTCCTGCAACACCAAACCTGCAGACTAGTGAGGGCATAAGCCCCCGAATTCGTCGGCACTTTGGGCCGCTACACCAAAACACAACTGTCAACTCCACCATATCCAACAGCTCGATAACTCCAACCCGTCTCTCGCTTCTGGTCTCAATCACCTACCCATGGACACCAAGCAGCAGAAAAATCCGGTCACCACATTCCTTCGGAGTTTGAAGCTGCAGCTGAAGCTAAACTATTGCGGCTTGTCTCAAAGAAAGGAAGAAGACGGCTTACACTTCTGCATCTCAACATGCAATGCCAGAACGGTCAAAGAAAGCCCAGCGTCAGCAGCGCGAAGGCCGTTATCATCACGTAGATGATGAACACGAAGACCTGATTGCAGGAGACGAGACAAAGCCATTGCAACGTGCAGCATACTGGAGACCCCTACTTGGAGGCTCATGGGTAGATTTAAGCACTTATAGCTACCCATGAACCCTAAACCCTAAACCCTAAGCCCTAAACCCTAAACCCTAAACCCTTTACCATAAACCCTGAAGCCGGACTATATTTACATATGTATATGTATATACATATATGTATATATATATATATGAATCGATGGCTGTATTCCTCTCGAGCATCAGTAGATGACAAAGCCTGACTATGTCCAAGGCAGCCGAGCGGCATAAATGATCCTCGGCTTTGTCAGGAAGCAATGCCGAAACTGACATGCACACCCCAAAGACTTGGGTGAAGCATCCAAGCTGTAACAATAGTTTCGCAGGGTAAAAGTCAATAGGGCCCCTATTCTCTTGTGCAGACTGTTGCTGTGTAGGGGCCTAACCTCTACACCCTAAGCACTGAAAACCCGAGCTCTGGGCTTTCTAAGCTGCCCTTCGAAACAACCATTGGCGGACGTTTGCGCGGGCCTGGTTGACTCTGAAAGCCTCAAGCATCCCAAAGCCTTGCGTAACGGCGTCCAAAATGTGATGCTAACTCTCAGTCACCCCGGCCCTGGGCTGATTAGGGTTTTGGGGTTTGGGGTTTTGCACCTTTTTTTGCAGCATGGAGCTTAAATCCCCTTCGCCAAGTCTCTCGAGCTGGAACAGGAGTTGCACATCCCGTGCCCAGTTGGTGCCACCGGAGACCGCTTGGAAAAGAAAATAGGCCTCGAATTTCTTCTTCTCTCGGGGCGATGGCTTCTACTTTAGGGAACTGAACTCTGGGGTTTCAGGGGCTGAATCCTTGTCTCGACGCGGATTGGCATTTCAGGGCTTCTGCTGCATGTTCCCGGGGCCCGCCCTGACCTAAATCTAAGATGTTGGATTTTTGGTTCAGGACCCCGTTCTCCGACTGGCATCCCTAAACAGGCCGTAAACCCTAAACCCTACTGTTAACCATAATCCTCAAGCCTTGTGTCCCTTTGGGTCTAAGGATACGAGCCCTGACACACTCTGCCGCCGTGATGCGGTCCTTATGGTGGTGCCAAAAACATCCCGCAGAGCCACCTGGTCCTGAAAGAGACGGCTTCGTGGTTTAGGGGCTTGGGGTTTGGGGGTTTAGAGGTTTGGCATTTGTAGGGGTGTGGGGGTTTAGGGGTTTAGGGTTGAATACAAAGCCCCAAAACGCCCTGCCCCTCTGCCCACAAGGCGTGCTCTTGTCTTAAATGTGCCATGGCTCCTCGTTCAGCGGAAGCGGTTGCACTATCAAGTGTTCCAGAACCGCCTGGGTCATTGTCGTGGCGAACAGGTATAAGATGATCCCCATGAGCACCTCGGCACTCACCATGGGTTTAGCTTTGGGGGTTTGGGGTTATAGGGTTTAGGGTTTCAAGAAGCTCGGGCTGCGTAAACGGGGCCTTGACCTTGCACTCGCTCAGAAGTGGTGCCCCGAGCCCCTCAAAAGCAACCCTTCACAAAAGAAGCCAGAGCCACCTCCTGCGGGGCACCGTGCTTTGGCTTTGCAATCGGCGGAATTAGGCTCGAGGTGCTGTCGTGCTCATGTCGGGTTCAATCTAGGGGCCTATATGGGGCCTGAGGTGTCTGCCTCGGAACCGTACAAGACTACATCGAGCTTTGGCCCATGTCCAGTGCACCGAAGTCACACCGCTCCAGAAGAGGCTCGGGAGCGTTCCGAAGAGCGTGTACACCATGACGCCTGGTCGGGATGTTCCCCCTTTTACTAACAACCCTTAATGGGGATTATAATAGGTACTATCATCCCTATGAAGGACTGTTAGTATACCCCTTTTACTAACAATTCTTAGTAGGGCTTTTATCCCTATTCAGGACCGTTCGTATAAGGGGGAGCATCCCAAACGCCTGGTCTGGTGCTTCGTGGCGAGGTTATGATTTGCAAGGTCAAGGCTGTGGGCTCCTTATGGTCTTCAGCTGTCTGGTACTTTAGGTCTAGGTTTAGGGCTTATAGGGTCAAAAGGGTTGCAGGATTTTGTTGGTTTGGGTCTAGGGCTTAGGTTTTCTAGGGTTCTAGGGTTACAGGATTCTTGTGGTTTGGGGTCTTGTGGTTTGGGGTCTAGGGCCCATCCGAGTATGACTTGGGAACTCCTTCCGCCAAACTGGGCCAGTAGCGTCTGAATCCCATGTGCCCCTACAAACATCCCCCAAACTGTAACTTCAAAAACCCTCAACCCTGAACCCCAAGCCCGCCCAACCCCCTGAACTCCACAACTAACGGCTCCACACCCTAAAGGCACTGTACCCTAAGCCAAACACCCCCCAACCCGCTGCCGAAGGCACGCAGCTGTCGCAGAAAGCGTACGACGCGAATGATGCGCGCAAAACGAGCCTGCAGACATCTGCAGCTTTAAGGTCGAGGGATGAAGGCTTTAGGGTTTAGGGTTTCTAGGTAGCGTTATAAGTTATAAGTGCCCTTAATAAGGTTATAACCTGTTCTAGTTATACCTACTTGTATCCCCGCTTGTAACTACCCGCGAACCTCCAAGTAGGGTTTAGGGTTAGGATGGGTTAGGGTTCCGAGTAAACACCTAAATCTTCGTCACAACCAAAGGTCGATGAGCAAAGCTACCCAGAGAGCGAAAGGACAGTTCCCTGGCACACAGGCTGCTCTGGAGAAATCCTGGCCGCCAAGTCGTCGACTCTCACCCCGGAAAAACCTACAGCAAACCTCAAATTGGGAAACCCCTCAACTCGATTAGGGTTTAGGGTTTAGGGTTTAGGGTTTAGGGTTTAGGGTTTAGGGTTTAGGGTTTAGGGTTTAGGGTTTAGGGCTCGACGTTTCACTCATGTGGGTCGCATTTTTGTTGTTCATCTGCTTTGCGGACCACCTGACGGACTCAAGGGTCCCAGGGCTCCCCCTCATTATCCCCTGGTTCTGAGTGGGGAATGAGGGAATTGGGGCCCTATGTATACCCTTTAAGGGAGTATATAGGGTACCTTGTATATACCCTTTAAGGGGTTATATAGGGTACCATATATATATATGTATAATATACCCTTTAAGGGATTATATAGGGTACCTTGTATATACCCTTTAAGGGATTGCATAGGGTAATTGCCTCATTCCCTCATTCCCGACTAAGAACCTGGAATCCGAGGCTTAGGAATTTGGAGCATGGCGTTCCTTGGGGTGGCAGGGTTTAGGGTTTAGGGTTTAGGGTTCAGGGTTTAGGGTTTAGGGTTATAATTTGCGGCAAAGATATGCTCGCTTCATTCATGATATGCAGTTGAACTTGCAAGATTATCCTTTATACTCAACCAAAGATGGTGGTGCGACGTCTTATGCACGTCGTGGCGTTCCCTTTCATATCATTCAGATGTTAGGGCGATGGAAGAGTGATGCTTATAAGATATATATTAGATATTCTCACTCTGACATCGCTAGCATTCTTAAATCTCTTGCTTCTAGAAATGTAGTTGACTCACATCTTGTCTATACGTGTGATGAGACAAGGCCTGAATATAGGCTTTATTACGGGCTTTGCTAGAGTTTGCGCACTCCCTCACAGCGCCACCAAGTTGCAACCCGGATCATGCGCACCTCAGCCAAACTGCAGAATTGGGATCTCCTTTGGGAACCCCTTGCGCATACAAGGGCAGCGATGAAAGAACCAAACTTCTAAGCCAAGGAAGTGAGCACTACACCGATCGAAAGCATGAACCATGCTTTGTTTCAGGATGTTCCCGGTCCTGGCGCGCAGAACACACGGGGCTTTCGGCTTAAGAGGAATCTCAGGGTGCTTAGGGCCTTTCCGCAGCACAGGAGTCTCCCTGACTCTCTGGGATCGGGCTCTAGGGAAGAATGTCGCAGCCATGAGGCAAATCCCGCAGAAGCTGAGGCCGTGAAGTGAGGCAAGCGGGAACCCCCCTAAACCCTAAACCCTAAACCCTATTTTGCACAGGCTTTGTCTCAGAACCCTAAACCCTAAATCCTAAACCCTAAACCCTCCCAAGTCATCCTTTGGGTGCAGGGTTGCGGAGGCTGCCGGATCAAAAAAACTAAAAGGACAAAACAAATTAACAGCCGAGGGTTTAGGGTTTAGGGTTTCGGGTCTAGGGTTTAGGGTTTACGGTTCAGGGTTCAGGGTTCAGGGTTTAGGGCCTAGGGTTTAGGTTTTTGATCCTTTTTAAATTTGCGGTTGATCCTTTCTAGTTTGTTTTTTGATCCCTATCCCGGTTTCGGGCCCCTTTGGGTTAAAGGTTTGAGGGTTGGCATGTTCCCCCTTATACTAACAGTCCTTCATCGGGAATAAAATTATATTGGGGGGGGGGGGGGGGGGGGTAGTATAATCCCTGTTTAGGGTTTAGGGTTTAGGGTGTCCTTAGTAGGCATGACAATAGGCGGTACTAGAGTCCTTATGAAGGACTAGTATAGGGTTTAGGCTTGAGGGTTTAGGGTTTGGGGTTTGATGGTTGCTTCCTGCTTGGAATTATTGCCAACCCTTTATCCCCCTCATTCGCAAACCGGCGGCAAACCCCATCATTATCACGGCCCGAATGCTTGCCAAGGGTCAACAGAAAGGAACGGATGGTTGTTTGCGAAAAGGAGCGTGGCCAGAAGCTGGCAGCAGAAACGGAAAGGGTGACTGCAGCGTAAACCGCAGCAGGTCTTTGTTACCATCGGTTGTTCTCAAGACAAATCTGCTTGTGACACTCTGACAGAACACACGCAAGTTTTAGTCACAAAGGGTTGACTAATTTTCAGCAGCATCCGGCAAAACGTGGATCATGCAATGGCCTCGACTCCTGCAAAGATGACAACAATGAGATCGAAAATGTTCCATCCAGCATCCTCAGGCCAACAAGAAACGCAAGCTGAAAGACAGCACATGAAAACATCTTGTTCACCCCCATGCAATTGCAATCGGGAGGCTGCCTGTCAACAAACGGTGATTTAAAAAAAAGATGGGGCTTTGTCAAATCGGTTCCAAGAGGAAGATCCTGGGCTGCTTAGCCGCTGCACACCACTACCCCTTGACTCCTCCCCCCAGCCCAAAGACAAACCCAAACTGTCCCGCATGTTCAGCGAGCGAGCGACTCACCACCATCTCACACCCTCAAGCCACAGAGTCATACTTGGTAACCCAGTAACCATATTGTAATAAGGGCACCCTTTTTGGGGGTTGGTGATTCTATAAGTATAAGGGAACCAAGAACCAAAAAAAAAGGGTAAAGGGTACCGCTGGGCTACCAAGCATACAAAACGCCCTGAGCCCTGCAGCCTCAGGGCCGTCGCGGCTTGGGGCTTTGCAGGGTTTAGGGTTTAGGGTTTAGGGATCAGTACTCAGGCCCGGTCGAAAGCGAAGAAGAAGTTCTTTCCAAAGGCTAACAGGCGGATTGAGAGCTCCACGAGGAAGGCCACGAAGAAGAGGATCCTTCGTAAAGCGCTTGGTTCCGAGGAACTGAATTCCAAGTTCTACGTGTTCGACTGGTGTGTGTAGGAGATCACGGGCTGCAGGGCGTTTTGGGAGGAGGGTTTCCAAGTACTGAGATGGTCCAGGGTGTTGCTCGCGCCAAGCCCTTGTGGTTGGCGTGTTCCTGCCAGATCCGACCTGCCTTCCGGCAGACTTCCGAAGAATTCTTGCAAGAATTGCCGTGCAACCTACGACGGAGTGGTTGCCAAAAAGAATGCCCAGGTATGCCCAGGTGCAGAAGCTCAAGGGCCTCTCCCCAACGGCCATTTACATTAGGTCAGTTCTCCAAATCATGGCCCCTTTTGCAGTCCTAATTGTAAGGCCCCTAGTTTGTAGGGTACCCAAAAAGGGGGACCAGAGTTTAGAGAAGTGACCATACCATTTAGGGTTTAGGGTTTAGGGTTTTAGGGTTTAGGGTTTTGCCTCCGAGTTGCTGCAGGCCAGCAAAGACAGCGGGGAGCTCGTTGGACATGGCCGTGGACTCACAAGGCGCAGGTGTTCTCACGTGGTTTACTTAGTAGCCCAGAAAAACCATACCATAAAAAGGGTTTAGGGTTTATGGGTTTCTTGGTAGCCCAGTGATCACATTATCATACGGGTACCCTTTTTTGGGTGGTCACTTCATAAGGGAACCCAGAACCCAAAAAAGGGTAAAGGGCACCACTGGGCTGCCACGTTGTGGGTCTTTACTCAGTGCTGTCTCCGGTGTCCGAGCAAACTGAGCGCGACTGGTTTAGAGCCTTCGCTGATTTTTTGAGTTTAGGGCATTTGAAATTTGAAACCCTCAACAGTAAACCCTAAACCCTTGAGGACTTCTTTTTGTGGGAACTGCGTGCGGATTCTTTGCAGCCTAGGGGGTCGAGGAGTCGAGACAAGAGAATTCTGAGAAAACATGCTGGGAGAAGAGGACCGAAAAGCTTAGGGTCTAGGGTTTAGGGTTTAGGGTTTAGGAAGGAATGTGAGCAACAGCGCAGTAGGAACAATGCCAGATGAATATCGTAAACAAAAACAAAAAACAGGCAGCAAATGGAACGACTAGCATGTTAAGTCTTCTGAAATTCCCCTATATTCCCTCAACATGAGTGCCTCAGACCTAGACTAGGTGCGGTGATGCAAGGACAACCAGAAGTCGGAAGCTGCTTGCTCCCGTCCTCAAACACCAAACCATTTCTCCTACACAGGCTCATGCATGCAAGCCCGTCCGGGTTCAGATGCTCAGCCGAAACCCGAGATCATCCAGTGAAAACGGCTGTTGGGGGTCAGTGCCGGTCTCAAGGTCTGCAGCTACGGACCTAAAAACCCGCGACCTCGCCTTACATCTTCTTTTTGCAGTCCAGATGCCGTGTACTCGACTTCTGCGCCCACAGCCACGGAGCTGACGAGGATCATGAATGCGAAAATTCCTTGACTCAGATTTTGAAGGGGGCCCGCCGTGGCTTTGAAAATAAAGTCTTAAACCCCAAAAAACCCCTAACTAACCCCAAGCAACCCTTCTTAACCCTATAAACCCTATAAACCCTATAAACCCTGTAAACCCTATAAACCCTGTAAACCCTGTAAACCCTAAACCGATAAACAACCCGAACTGGCCATGTTGGCAGTGGCCAGCTTGGCCTCCAAGTACAAGCCTCTTAGGGGAGCAGGGCTTACAGCTTATGAGGCTTTTAAGCCTCCTGACAAACATTCCTAAACATGATCCTCTTAAAGCCAATAAGGGGACACCCTGAAACGTCCGGGAGGGGGAGGGCTACCTAGTTGAAACGCGACCAACTGCTGCCCAAAGCTCTGTCAAACCAGGGATGTTCGATCATCCGCCTGCGACAAGCTGAAGAACACTGGAAGCTTTGGTCAAGCTCTTGGGGAGTAAGCTTCGATCGGACATCTAAACTGAACAAACCCTGCCAGACAACCACTATTCCCTGACCAACGCCTGGTGTGCATCTTGAACCAATTTGAATTTGGTGAGGCTCTGACAAACCCGATATTGGCCCGATATCGAGCACATTTGACTCTATCTGACCGAAGGGCCTTCTTCCGCTCTTGGGTTCTACAAATGGCGGCTTGGTTCCCCAAAAGGGAGATTCTTAATTGAATGGCTGCCGCAAGCGTTTGGCGCGAACGTGAAGATGAACATCCCAACGCTACGAAAGGGCGTTTACGACCGGGCTTCTATCCACATGCTGGACATCCAGTCGTCTGACAAGGAAGGAAGATCTCCACACAGACTTTGTGAAAGCGAATGCAGTTTGCAGCGCTTACAGCTACTTGCCTCATCGGGGCAACCCGAGATGTCGTGTGTGGGGTGAAGGGATTTCCTCACCATCAGCCTGTACATCCTCATCCTCCTCCCTTACATCATGCACCCCACTCCTTGTTTTCCAGCACGCTCACAAAGACATCCCCCAACCTGTTTCTTTCACTACTCCTAGAAACCTACCCCTAAACTCCAAACCCTAAACCCTAAACCCTAAACCCTAAACCCTAAACCCTACACCCACCAGCCCTGGTCCCGAGTCACCCCCTGTCTCGCCCTCCCTACTTCTGGGCGCCTCCATAGGTTTCTGGTGGGCTTCGGCTTCGCAGCCTGGACAGCTTTAGAGCTCAAAACCCTAAACCCTGAACCCTAAACCCTAAACCCTAAACCCTAAACCCTAAACCTCCCTAAGAACCATCTTGAGCCCTAGACTCCCCTTATTCGGGGGTAGAAGGAGGGACCCCCTAGAACTTATTCCCCAAGATGCTCCCTATGTAAATTATAGAATCTCTCTACACCAGTAGCCCCAACGCAGCCCCTAAGGTCCCTTGTACGGGTCCCTCCTTTAGTCCGTTGTGCTTGGTTGTCCATTCTCCCAAGGGGAACTAAAGGTTCACCTTTGGGATTCTATAGGGGGTGGTTTAGGGTCTAGGGTCTAGGGTTTTAGGGTTTAGGGTTTTAGGGTTTAGGGTTTTAGGGATAACACCCCAAAAAGGTTAAAGGTTACCGACCCTACCCCTAAGGGAACAAGACCGCATTGTTATGGCTTCTCTTTTTTTGGGCCCAAAGACCCTAAGCCTTCTATTTGGGGGTCTTGGGCCCTTAGGGTACTTCTAAGTCCCCAGACCATAGACTTCGGAGGGTCGCTGGGGGGTTCAGGGCGCGGTTTCGGCAACCCAGATTCCAAGACGTACCGTTCTCAAGTCTTAAGGCAGGTTTAGGGTTTAGGGTTTAGGGCCTAGGGCTTTCAGCGCTTCCCCTTTTAAGCCCTAAAGCCCCCCCAAAGAACCCGAAGAAGCCCTGCTGCCTTGGGCTCTTGGCCCTCCTTGTTGCTCTTGGCACGCATCCGGAGGACTTCCACTGTCTCCTGAAGCGCATTTGCGTTGGCTCGCAGTTCGAAGCCTATAAGGAGGGCCCCCCTAGTTATAAGTAGAGGTAGGAGGACCCTAAAATGGGTTATAAGGATCCTAAGTTAGGCTCTAAGTCCCTTAACTACAGTTAGTATAGTAAGGGGTCCCTCCTTGTATACACCAAGGACAGTAGCCGCACCTGGACTATCTGGAGGACATGCTCGGAGATGCTTAGAGTGGGGCCTGCTGTGCGTGGCATGGAAGATGGTAGGGGTCAAGCCTTCTTCGACTGCGCATGTAGGGAGGCATGTTTGATGCCGGTGCTTGGCGTCGAATCCGAGCCTTTGATGTGCTGCTATGTGTGAAAGAACCTGCCCGCATCCGAATCCCTGCACGCAAACATTTGGACCGAGTTGGCGCGCAATTTTCAGGACGCAAGCAGGACTTGGCACAACTAGCCTGAGCTCAAAGCGTGGTGCCTCTCCTACGCCATTCTGCCCGTTGTATCTCTTCGCCGTTTAATAATTAACCATCACGCATTTCAGGAGAAGCTTGTGGGCAGAGATGTCAAAGATCTGTGCGCATTCAGCCGCTCACAGCATGCCCCGTGCGCCGTTTGCCCTTTCGCATCTCAGGACGCAGCTGTCAGCTGGCCGATTTTGCTTCACGCTATAAGTGCGTGGCAGCGCTTCTTTCCTTTTGTGTGTGCCGGCGCAGGCAGAATGTGGAATACGCTGGTGAGGATGTGGAAATGGAGGCACCCTTGAACAAAGTGCTGCTTTCGAACATCAGGCGGTCATGTGCTGCGAACGAAGATACCATCACGAGTACTGTTGCCAACCCCCGACGCTGGAGCAAGTCCCCTCGTCAGCTCACTATGCTATTCTAAATTAGGCATTGTTGATCACCTTTTGCTTCAAAGCAATCTTGCGCAGAATGACGCCATGCTTTGCTCCAGCCGCGATGATATGATCCGGGTTAAGACACAGTATCCTGCAACACAAGCCTCCGCCAACAAATCAAGACATATCTAGTTGAAGTTCACCTGCAGACTCCGAAGACCCCTGTACTTCAAAGTTCGGGTAGACTTAAAGAACATGGCACGAGGCTACTTCGACTCCTCTTCCGTCGCGCCCCAGCGTGACACCCGGCCCCTTGGATCTGCTTCTGGATTTCACCCTCAACCCTAAACCCTAAACCCTAAACCCTAAACCCTAAACCCTAAACCCTAAAACCTAAACCCAAGGCTTCGGGTTTACGAGGCTCAAGACGAGGCTCTAAGGCTTCAGCAACTGCTCCTTAATTCCGGGAACATGGATCCAACCAGTAATGACATGCCGCGCCGGGGGTACCGTGCTTGAAGGTTCATGGGAAGTGCCCTAAGGGTCCATGTACAATATTATGATATACCTGGGCCCAAGAATTCATATATAGGACGTGCTTGAAGGCCCAAGTGGACACTTAGGGTTACTTGAACCCTGTAAACCCTAAACCTTATTTAGGGGTACTTCTACCCCTACGAACATCTACCCCTAAACCCTAAACCCTAAACCCTAAACCCTAAACCCTAAACCCTCAACCCTCAACCCTCAACCCTAAACCCCAACCCCCATGCAATGTCTCCCTGCAAAGTGCAGCTCAGGGTCGAGGCCTGCGAGTTTTCGCCCTCACTGCCAGAGCACCTCCAAAAGTTGGGGCATGTTGGGGCTCGGGTTTAGGGTTTAGGGTTTTGGGGTTTAGGGTTTAGGGTTTAGGGGCTTGGGGCTTGGGGCTTGGGGTTTGGGGTTTGGGGTTAGGCTTGGGGAGTTTGAGGGTGTAGAGGGTTTGAGGGTTTTAAGGGTTGCGGGTTTTTAGGGTTTAGGGCTTTTGGGGCTTTAGGGTTTTGGGGTTGTTAGGGTTTTAGGGCTTCTAGGGGTTTGGGGGACTTTTAGGGTTTGAGGTTTCTAGGGTTTTGGGGTTTTAGGGTTTTCTGCCAGCACCTCCAACAGTTAGGGTGGGGGGGGGGGGGGGGGGGTGCTTGAGATTCACAGGGTTTTAGGGGGTTTGAGTGTTTTTGGGTTTTGGGTTTTTTTGGGGTTTTGGAGGGTTTTAGGGTGTAGGGTCGCAAACAACGGCTTGGAATGCCTTGCAGACGTTTCAGGGGCCACGCAGCTAATTGACTTAGGCGGCTTCTTTGCTTCTTTCACAATCAGAACTCCAAACCTTAAATTCCGCGCCCCATAAGCCTACAAAAGCTTTAATTTTACAAACTCTGCCATACACAAGACGGCCTGAAGCCTCAAGACTATACTCCCCTTAGAACCTTAATAAAAGTACAATGTTTGATATACTCTTGGGTTTTATATAAACAAAATAAGCAAACATAGAAAATGCCATTTGAAATAGCCTCCTGGGTTTTACATAAACACAAATAACAACTAATTCCCAAGAAAGATATAGAAGAGGCACGGTGCATTTTTTTTCTGGGGGGGCCCCGCTTGGAGGTCCGCGAGGCACGCCGAGACCGCGAGCCTGGTGCCAGGATTGGAAATCATGTTAGGGTTTAGGGTTTAGGGTTTAGGGTTCAGGGTTCAGGGTTCAGGGTTTAGGGTTTAGGGTTCAGGGTTCAGGGTTTAGGGTTTTACTCAGATGTCCATTTTTTGCTGGCTTCGGGATGATACGTGCAGCAGTAAAAGCCAGACGTCTTCCTGGGTAGTTGACTAGGTGAGGGTTACAGGTGCCCAGCCTGTTCATCAATAACGAATAACAGTTCGCAACCCTATCTAAACACCACAAAGCCCAACCCCGGTCTCACAAAGAACTAAAATCCTGCCCATCCTAAATGGAAAACCCTACCACGTCCCAAGTCCACAACTGGACTAGGAAACCCTAAACCCTAAACCCTAAGCCCTAAACCCTAAACCCTAAGCCCTAAACCCTAAACCCTAAGCCCTAAACCCTAAACCCTCAGCATCGCTGAACCATGCTTGAGCGCTCGCTTGTCCTCTCCTCCGGCCCTGAATTGGGTCGCCTGTGATTCATGGGCAGCCTTGGGGATCTAGCCCCCTTCTACTAACAGTCCTTAAGAGGGATTCTAGTACCCCCTACTCTACTTACTTCTCCAATAATCAAGGGGGAAAAAAGGTTAAACAATAATATTCCTACTAAATATGGAAGCCCAAAACGTTTAAAGTTCAACCAAAGGCCAACTTAGCATAATCCCCATGAAGGACTGTTAGTATCAGGGGAACATCCGAAGGCAGCCTCACCACCAGGGCTTGGCAGAATGTCAACAGATCTCGAAGGCGCCTGACTGAATCTAAAACCTCTGCGGCGAAAAAGGAGAAGCGGTTTTTTTTGGACACCTGGAGTTCCAAAGCTGTGAGTTGCTAGTAGGCCTCTGTATTGCCCTGAGGCTGAATGTGGAGGGAAGAGAGCGACCTGAGCCCCTCATCGCGCGCGAAGGCACAGATGACCCGAATCCCCGAACCCCTTGCCCTACTTGAAGGTTCATGGGTAGTTAAAAGTAGCGTTTAAGTACCCTAAATAAGGTTATAACTCGTTATAACCGATACTTACCCTACTTAGAACCCCACTTATAACTACCATGAACCTCCAAGTAGGGCCCTAAACCCTGAACCACAAACCCTAAACCCTAAACCCTAAACCCTAAACCCTCGCCTGAGAAGGTGGGCAGCGCCAGGGAGCTGACCTGCACGCTGCCAAAGCCTTCCTCGTCAAGTGGGCTCCGGGCTTCTGGCAGAGTTCCTGCCTTTTTGGGGAGGTTTAGGGTTTAGGGTTTAGGGTTCAAGGGTTTAGGGTTTAGGGTTTAGGGTTCAAGGTTCAGGGTTTAGGGTTTAGGGTTCAAGATTTAGTTCGTTTCTCACCCTACCCCCCTCTTTCTCCCCTCTTCTCCTCTCACGCACGGGCCAAGGATTGTCAAAGGTCGTGGGCTCGGAAGTTTTCAGGCCCTTGAGCCTCTTTGTGCATGTTGCCCAGTCAACCTGGAGAGCCCTTCCCGCGCGCAGAAGATTTCTGGAATTTGGGCAGGAACTCATGCATCGATTATGTACTGTGGACTTCTTCTGTTTTTAAATTACTTTTGCTTTTTGTTGGGGGGAGGAGGGGTTCAGGGTCTAGCCTTGCGGCTCCGTTTGCTTATGTCTTTCTTCTGGCGTGCCGAGCACGGATTATTGGTCAAAGAGAGGCACGGATGGACACAACTTAAGCCCTCTCACGACTTCAGCTGGGTCTTGCTGCTGTTCAAGTTTTAGCGGTACCTTAAGGCCTCAACCCTAAACCCTAAACCCTAAACCCTAAGCCCTAAGCCCTAAACCCTAAGCCCTAAGCCCTAAGCCCTAAGCCCTAAACCGAAGGCTTGCAGCTTACTGGCGGCTCTCGTCTGCCTCTAGATATGCTGCGGCACCCTTCGTCTTACACCAAGGCTTCACCCGTATCAATTGGGATCTTGCGACTTAGGGATTTAGGGGTTTAGGGTTGGGATGCTCCCCCCCTTACACTAACAGTCCAGGGTAGGGATTCTAGTACCCCCGATCATCATCCCTGTTGAGGACTGCTAGTCTAAGGGGGAACAGCCCAAAGTATAAGATGCCGATCCTTTACCATGAAATAGCTAAACCCTAAACCCTAAACCCTAAACCCTAAACCCTAAACCCTAAACCCTAAACCCTAAACCCTAAACCCTAAACCCTAAACCCTAAACCCTAAACAGGGTTCTTAAGAAGGAGCCCGGAGAGCCCTCTTGCCTCATCCGGGTCCCCTCGCAGCGTCGAGGTGAGCCCCGAGGACTTCGCCAGGCGCGTCTCGAGGGCCGGGAAGGACACCTTGGGCTCGGATGGCTCCTGAAACCCCTCCCTAAACCCTAAACCCTAAACCCTAAACCCTAAACCCTAAACCCGTTAAAACCCTTTAAACCCTAAAGCCCTAGCTGAGTATGATCCTCTTAAGCCCAGTAAGGGAAATGTAAAAATATGCCAAGGGCCTACCTTAGCTTGCATGGATTAAGATCGCTTGAGTTCGGGGCGTGAAGGAAATTTAAGGGTGCCGCCTCCCCCTGACTCCGGGGTCAGCAAAGGCGTAGATTCTCCCTAAAACCCTAAACCCTAAACCCTAAACTTTCCCGAAGAGGCAGAAGATGTCCTAAAAGTGAAGGACAGCCCTGGGCTGGTACATGTGATCCTAGAGCACCTACTCAAAACCTGTGGTGCTCACCTGCAAACCACGCACTTGAAGAGAGTTTACAAGGCAACAACTTGCAAGTGTACTGGATGCCATCATCCTAGTTACGGGCCTAGTTACGCCCATGCGTGGAATTGAATTCGTGATGGCACATCCCAGGATTCAAGACCGATCCGGCCTAAGAGACTTTAAAACAATATATATATATATATATATATAAGAACCCCTATATTGCCCTTGTAAGGAAGATCTTTTTTGGGGGGTTCTTAAGCAGTTAGTCGTCAGCTTGTGTCAGCTGGGCGGCTTCGGATGCTACAGGACTCGTGAAGCCTGCCGGGGCGCTGTGCCACAGTTAGGGTTTTAGGGTTTTAGGGTTTTAGGGTTTTAGTTGTCAGGTTCCGAACTCTCAGAGCTGAGTACAGGCACCGGGAACTGGCTTCCCCAGGTAGCGGGGTGGCAGTGCGCTTCACTTACGAACGTAGGTGCTAAGTGACACGGCAACCCTAAACCCTAAACCCTAAACCTCCAGGCAGCTGGTCATGTTGGGCCTCGAGCTTCTTCTCTGCACGTGGAGGGAGGCCCCGCAGGCCCCGCAGGCATCTGCTGGGAAACCCTGAGGCTGGGGCTTGCGGGAGCCAGTGTCTGGAGCTCTTTTTGGCAGACTTGCTTGCAGGGTTTAGCGGGTTTAAGGGCTTGTATAAAACTTATGCAAATACATATGTGTATACATATGTCTATATATATGTGTGTGTGTGTACAGATTCATGGTTCTCATGTGTACTTGTACTCTACTCATATTATGCACGGACGAGAGTGGCATGCATGTAAACATGTATTCGGATTTCAGAGGGGCTGGGGCAGCCATGATCTGCAGTGGGGTTTAGGGTTGCTTGGTTCCTTCGAGCCCCGGAGTGAACCACACACCCTGAATGTAAGGGTTTAGGACTTCCTTGGAGGTCATGGGAAGTTAGAAGTAGGGTAACTAGACTTATCACCTATTTAGGGCAATTAGAACCCTACTTGTATCTACCCGTGAACCTTCAAGTAGTGTTGCAGTGGGGCAACCAGGGTCCCCATGGCCCTACTTGCACCCCAAGTGGAGCCGAAAGCACAGACCCCAGCACTGCAACTTGCGGTTCAGGGCCTGAGGGCTTTGGAGTTTTTTGGGGTTGAGGGGTGGTGCATAGAAGCCCACCGGGTCAGATCAGAACTGAAATGTAAGCTCCTCTAGCTTGCACTGACACAGAAACATGTAGGGTTGATGGCTCAGGAGTGCCAAGCCGCACGAACTGTTTGGCTTCTTGATAACAACCCTGCCCACTACGACGCTGCAGCCCAAAGCCCCAAGACCTCGTCCAGCCCGGTGCCTTCAGAATGGGCCCCTAAACCCTAAACCCCTAAACCCTATAAACCCATAACCCCTAAACCCCTAAACCCTAAGTGTCCCCAAGCATCCGTAAGCATCCCCTAAGCCCTGAACCCCTGCGAGCCAAGCAATTTGGGCCGGGGTGCCAGGTGCGAAGCTCCGACTGCAAGGTCACATGGCTTCGCTGGAGAATCGCCTCTAGCTCGGACCTGGGTTGAGGGTCATGGGAGTTTAGGGTTGAGGGTCATGGGAGTTTAGGGTTTAGGGTTTAGGGTTCAGGGGTTTAGGAGTTTAGGGTGTAGGATCCAGGCCTTGGATCTGGCGTTAGGGTCTAGGGGGTAGAAAGGGGCGTAAGATGGCTTAAAGTGAGCTAAACCCTAAACCCTAAACCCTAAACCCTAAACCCTAAACCCTAAAAACCCTAAAAACCCTAAAAAGCCACCTTGCACACTTGAGGTTGCGACCGGTGTGACGCCGAGGGTGCCAGGGACCGGACTCACCGGCTCAAGGGCTTCGGGATTTTGGGGGACTTTCGATTTTTAGGGGTACCCCTTCTTTGGGAGGGCTTCTATAAGACTATTTTGGGGTATATTAAGGGTACCCCCCCTATTTGGGGAACTTTCGATGCTAGGGGTACCCCTTCTTTGGGGGGCTTCTATAGTGAGGAGAAGACCATTTTGGGGTATGTTAAGGGTAACCCCCCTGTTTTTGGAAATGCCCGTTTGGGGGCACGGGCCCTGAGGATGTGGTTTTTGGGCATGTCCGAAGAGCCAGGAGCATGTTCTGATGAAAGCAATGCTGTCAAAGCTTGATGAGTGTGCAGTGGGATGCTCCCCCTTATGTTAACAGCTCCTTAACAGGGATTCTAGCAGCCCCTATGATAATCCCTATTGAGGACTGTTTGTCTAAGGGGGAACATCCCAAAGTGTGCACTCCCCTGCTTTCAACCGCGAGAGCCACGCTGAGCTCAAAGAACCCTCATTTCTTTCAGGAGGGGGGTGGCGCTCCGTTGGAGGGCTGCGCCAGCTGTAAGCGCTCCCATGGCAAAGATTGAATTTAAGCACCCATTGTTTGCGGCTTCCCCGAAACCGCACATACGTCTCTCAACCCCAAGGTCCCTCCACGCTGTGTGCAGCCCTAACCCCCCCCCCCCCTCCAACAATTCAGGGGTGCTTTGCTGAAGCCGTTTGGAGTTCGGAGCACTTCTCTTCATTTCGTTGAGGGTTTAGGGTTTTGAGGGTTCAGGGTTCAGGGATTAGGGGTTTTTAGAGTTCAGGGTTTAGGGGGTTTAAGGGGCTTTCGACAACAAGTGGCAGTACAGAGGCGGTCGGATCCATCTCGGAGGCCTCCCGTCTGGCCGAGGTTGGGGGGGGGGGCAAGCTTCCGCATCCGGAACTCAAATCGCCCCGGGCCTCCAAGAGCCAAACACGAAGCCCTAAACCCTAAACCCTAAACCCTAAACCCTAAACCCTAAACCCTGTAGTCCCAATCAAGCATGGCCTGATGTAGCTGCTTCAACTCCCCCCCAAAAAAAACCCTGGGCTCTCCGGACCTCCGAAGCCTTCGTGGGCCTAAAGCACCCCCAACACGTCCAGCGGGCTGGTGTTCTTTGCAGGGAATGAGGGAAGGTTTAGGGTTTAGGGCTTAGGGCTTAGGGTTTAGGGTTTAGGGCTTAGGGCTTGGGGTTTAGGGTTTAGGGTTTGAGGGCCCTATGTAATCCCTTAAAGGGTACATATAGGGCCCTCATTCCCTCATTCCCTACGAAGAACCAGGGAGCCAGTGGCAAGAGGTGTGGGAACTCAGGCCACGTTGTCTTTTGTTAGACCCTAAACCCTAAACCCTAAACCCTAAACCCTAAACCCTAAACCCTAAACCCTAAACCCCCCTTCAGAAACCCTTCAGAAACCCTAGGGCAAAAACTTAGGGCATTAAAAACTTGCGGGCCTCAGGTTCGGGTTCCGTGAATTCAGCGTGTTGAAGCAGTTCTTTCGGGGTTTGTTGGAGTTGGGGTCCCCTCGACCTAAGATGCCAAAGTCTGCCTGCGCATTTACGGTACGCGATTCTTTGTCTGCGTCGAAAATGCTTCCTGACATCAGAGAAGCTCTAAACCCTAAACCCTAAACCCTAAACCCTAAAACCCTAAACCCTAAACCCTAAACCCTAAACCCTAAACCCTAAACCCTAAACCCTAAACCCTAAACCCTAAACCCTAAACCCTAAACCCTAAACCCTAAACCCTAAACCCAACCTTGACAGGCTCGGGCCCAAGAGCCCTTCAACCAAGGCCTGAAACCTCATTCAATGTTCGAACTTGTGAGACAAACCCAGGTAGTTTAGGGGTTTGGGTTTAAGGTTTAGGGTTTAGGGTTTAGGGTTTAGGGTTTAGGGTTTAGGGTTTAGGGTTTAGGGTTTAGGGTTTAGGGTTTAGGTAGTTGTAGTCCTCACGAACTAGAACCCAAAACCACGCACACATCAAAGCCGCAGAACCTTCTATACGTCCCCAGGAGAGCCGAAGGCTCACTTGCTCCCAAGCCTTGTGGCACAACCGTGGCTGTACTCAGCTGACGTGGCACAAGGCTTTCTACACAGATTTGGGGTTCAGGGCTGAGTTGAGGATTCAGCATATCGGTTTTAGGGCTTATAGGCATTGTTTAGGGTCCATAGGTCTATAGGGTTTTCAGGTCAGATCCGATTGCTTCCCGGTTGCTCTCAGCGTGACTTGCCCTAATCTTGAGCCCCATAACAATCGGAGGTACATATACGAACCGTTACACAAAACGCGCCCCCTTCCGTCCGGAGGTACTTGGAAAGATCTGAGCTGACATGAACTGTGACCTTTCTCGAGCCGACGGCTGCCAGAAGCTGACATCACAGGGCCGAGTATCAACCTTTTTCCTTCGAACATCCCCACCCTACAGATTTGGGGAATGTGTGGGCGCTCCAGGGATCCTCTGGGGGATACTCTGGGGTTAGACCGGGAGAGGAGAAGAGTTTAGCTCTAAATCTCACACTACTTTCACACTTAGGGTGGGAAACAACAAATACAAAAAGCTCTGAAAATCAGACAATACCTCTCAAACACAAACGCGCTTTTAAAACACAACTAAGCCATGAACCCTGAAACTCTGTAGCTAAGGTTCACAAATGTTCAGGTTAGATGGGCTCAAACCCTCTGAATCCGACCCTAACTGGATCCCGAGAGCCTCGTAAGGCCCTGCATACACCCCAACACCGAACGCAACTCCGCTTGAAAAAACTCTCCTTCGGAGGTTCATGGTACTTAGGGTTTAGGGGTTAGGGTTTTTTTTGCCACCCGTCTAGCCATGCTCCACGGGGCAACTGCAGCGGAAATGCTGCGTACAGACAACTTCAGAGCCCAAGTTTGTGAGGTATCCAGATGCACCACCCCCCAGTCCCTCCTCCGTCACGAAAGCGTCAGATCCCAATGGGTTTAGGGCTTAGGGTTTAGGGCTTATAGGGTTTTTATTGGACGTTCATTAGTTACAAGTAGGGTTAGAAGTAGGGCTTAACGAAACCTATAACCTTACTGAGGGTACTTCTAGCCCTATATTTTCGAACTACCCCAAATGAACCTTCAAGAAAGGTTCACGGCCCCCAGGACGGAATCCGCCTCATCTGGGTCTTTGCGCGCCGCCTTCAAGCGCTGGCGCTCCTCCTGCGTCCAGATGCTCGTGGACCTTGGGGCTTGCCAGCGTCCACATTTAGGGTTTAGGGTTTAGGGTTTAGGGTAGTTGCATGGTCCCTTCATATTGGCCCTTTCTCCGGGACCCCTTGTATACCCTATACAACCCAAGGGCCCATACTTCAGAACCCTTTAAAAGGACCCTATATTAAGGGCCCATGAAACTACCCTTAGATACATAGAGCTTACAGGACCGAGGCATGCTTAGGGTTTAGGGTTTAGACAGATTTTTATATGGTCAGCGATGGACGGCACTCACGACACTTCTCAACTGAAAGACCACCCGACTCAGCCGAGACAACGGCAATTCTAAACCCCTAAACCCTAAACCCCTAAACCCCTAAACGCCTAAACCCCTAAACCCTAAAACCCCTAAACCCCTAAAACCCTAAACCCCTAAACCCTAAACCCCTAAACCCCTAAACCCCTAAACCCCTAAACCCCTAAACCCCTAAACCCCTAAACCCCTAAGCCCCTAAACCCTAAACCCCTAAACCCCTAAACCCAAAAACCCTGAGAAGCCGACCCATTCACCAAGGAGCTCTTCAACTGCGGAAGGGGCCATTCGGGGGAGTTCGTGCTCTCAAAGGCTACTTGGAGGTTCATGGGCAGTTATAAGTGGGGTTATGCGTAGGGTATAACTATAATCATAGCTGGGTAAAACATTCTTTAGAGTACTTATAACCCTACTTATAGCTCACCATGAACCTCCAAGTAGGGGGCTGTCAGTAAAGGGTTCAGGTTTGGAAGCTTAGGTTAGGATAGCTGGTTCAGAGCACTTCTGCTTGGGACTTGGAGGTGTGGTTGCAGGTTTGAGTCTGTATGTTTATGCACTTTTGTTGTTCGGAAGGTGGGGGGGCGGTGGGGGCGTGTGCAGCTGCATTGAACAGGTCTAGGATGTCGAGTTTGGACGCCGGCACAGCTACAGCCTGTCTATGGGTGAATGTGTATTGACCAAGCGCGATGCTGCAGAAAGTGTCATCCTACGCATCACGTCGCAGCTTGCAATGTATGACGCTGTCTGAGCCGCCCTAAATGCAGCCACCGGCGAATCGAAATGTCTTGGCCAAGCCCCTCAAGGTTCTCTCTGCATGCCTTGTCGACAAAATGCTCCAAGTTCGGGGGTGGGGTCTGGATCGTTTCACTCTACGGCAGCGTATACATACGCATACATGCCCCTAAACCCTAAACCCTAAACGCTAAACCCTAAACTCTAAACCCCATGCGCGTGAGCTCATAACGGCAACGCCTTCTCGTCGAACTCCTCGTGGAGTTTTCGGAGCTTGCCGTGGTGCTCGCGGGTCAAGAGGCGGTCCTCCGAGTTATGTGCTTTGGGGGGTGAGCGGCGAGGGTCAAGCCTTGAAAGGCTGGAGCCCCAGGAACTTGACGTACAGTGGACCTGAAGTCTGGGACATCTCGGGCCTGAGAGCATTTGATGCATGATATCAAGGGGTGTTTATTCGTGGCTCGCTTTTAAAGGTTCGGTGGTTCAGTCTTCAAGGTGTGTCCGTTGCATGCCTGCAGGCCTGATTCGACCTATCTTTCATGCAGCACATACTGCGCGCACGACTGCAACATGGTACGCACTCATCATGCCCCTAATCGGGCCAAAGCAGAATATTCAATTTTGAGGTGATGTCCTGCTGCAAGCCTTCCCGGTAGCGGGCCTGGCCGACGGGTGGGCACTAGAGGATATCGGGCACCAGGCGTTGGGGCTTGGGGATTTGGACATCAGCTTCCCCGGAAAAAGGCTCTGTCTCGCTTCAGGGTCTCTGGGAGCTGAAGGGGTGTTGGAGTTGAGGCTACACCCCAAATGAGGAAATGGATTGAGAGCTTAAAACGCCGCAAAAAGCAACTTGTAAATCACCAAACATTGCACTTGTATCGCCCCAGGGCACATACCTAATGTCGGGCCTCCTCTGTCGGGAAACGCTTTGAAAGGTTCATGGGTAGTTGTAAGTAATTAGGGTCATAAGTATACCCTAAATAAGGTTATAACCAGTTATAATTATAGTTACCCTACTTATAGGGGGCTTCCTTCCTTCCGTCCTCCCTCCCAACACGCCTAACCTCCCTAGAAGATCCTAGAAGGGAGTCGTCCCAAGAGTCTCGTATAACATGGTCCAAGCTGCCTGAAACATGAGTGATTGTGATGACACTACAAAGAAGCAGCAATGCAGCTTAATCAGTGTCACTCGTGCCCCCTGGTTATGTCAGGGTGGCTGCGGCTTGTGTCTCTCCCTATGGCAGGTGACCAGTGGGGGTTTGCGTAGCGCACGCTACGCCCTGCATAAAACATGAACAGGCCAATTATCTCCCTCGGCTCGCATCTCTCTCTCGCTATCTTTCTTTCCCTCTATCCCTCCTTCTTCTCTTTGACTGACCTAGAACTTGGGATCCCCCCTTATACTGACAGTCCTGCGTAGGGATTCTTGTACCTCGTTCATTATAATCCCTATTTAAGGACTCTTAGTATAACGGGGAACATCCCTGGAAGTCCAAAATCCACTTGCAACCCCTAAACCCTTTTTTATCGCGGACCTCTGAAGCCTGTCCTAAACCCTAAAACCTAAACCCTAAACCCCAAACCCCACCCAAACAAACCCCCGAACTCCAGCCCAACTCTCAATGTGT